GTTACATTTGATATACATAGCATATGTAAAAGTGACTAAAAACATACATTTATTTCCCCTACCCCATCTTAATTAATCCAAAATAGGATATTTTATGTCAAAATTTCAAAGTGCTATAAAAATAATTGCCCAAGCTCTAAGAATGGGAATTTATTTTTTTCTGAGACACTATATGATATATTGATTCAGAAAAGCCAAAAATAAATTTTCCTTTACTTTTTTTCCCGCTAATTTCCTACTGCACCCAGGCTAGTGTTCAACGAGTTTGCGATTCTCAGCTGAATATAATCCGTAATAACGAATTAGTAATTCTTATTTACGGATTACTAATTCGTAATAACGAATTAGTTATTTCGTAATTACGGATTAATAATTCCTAATTACGAATTAGTAATCTCTAATAACGAATTAACTAATTCGTTATTACGGAGTAGTAATCCGTAATTACGAATTAGTACCGTAATTCGTTATTACGGATTAATGAACATATACTTTATTGGCACTAATGGGCTTTCGTACAAAGAATATATCTACATTCTGTGTGAATAACAAAAAAAAAATGAAAATTTGTTTAGTCTGTCAAAACTTAACTTGAAAATGGAAGACCGATTTTGTGTAGCGTTAACACACACACATTGCCATATTTCACTGTTCGACCAAATAATCTTATAGCGTGCTGGCAATATTTTCAGAGGCCATGTTACTTAAAGAATCATAATTCCATAACGGAGGGTCGTATCTGTCTCTTATACACATCTAGATGTGTATAAGAGACAGGCCACAGGAATACAATGGTTTGATCACCTTGGACTTTCTTCCGCGTACTATCTCAATGACCCAGACTGAATTTTCAATTTTATTTTTTAAATGCACAGAATATCATGTCATTTTTGTTTTGAGTTTAAATCAACCATTAGTATATTACGCCTAATTGATATAGACTCTATTATATGTTATGTATTCAAACTATAGTGTATACATTCATTTATAGTAATAAAATAATAAAGTGAAACATTTTATTGTATTGGGCACTTTCTTTTAGAAAGCTAGAATAATCTACGTTACTATCTATTTTTTTATAGTGTAAAATGAGATATAACGGCACCTGATCAACGTTAGTATAAATACGTTGGGCCAACATGGTTTGATGACGTTGCGTAAACATTATCGGTCCGACGTTGACTCAACTAGTCGGACCAACGTCTTTACAACTGCCTGAATCGACGTTGGCCCGATGGAAAAGCGAACGTCTAGGCAACATCAGAAAAAGTACGTTGGCCCAATGTAGTTTGATGACGTTGCACAAACATATCAGCCCGACGTTCCTCCCACTAGTCGAACCGACGTCTTTCCAACAAGCTGAATCGACGTTGGCCCGATGTAAAAACGAACGTCTAGGCAACATTAGAAAGGTACGTTGGGCCAACGTGATTGGACGACGTTGCACAAACATTATCGGGCCAACGTAGATCCAACTAGTCGGGCCGACGTCTTTCCAACAAGCTGAATCCACGTTGGGCCGATGGAAAAACGGCCGTCGGGCCAACCTTTGTGTAAGTACGTAGTGCCAACGTAATTATTTGACCTTCAACCAACGTCAGTCCGACGTTGATCCAACTAGTCGGGCCGACGTCTTTCCAACAAGCTGAATCCACGTTGGGCCGATGGAAAAACGGCCGTCGGCCCAACCTTTGTGTAAGTACGTTGTGCCAACGTAATTATTTGACCTTCAATCAACGTCGGCCTGACGTTGATCCAACTAGTCGGGCCGACGTCTTTCCAACAAGCTGAATCCACGTTGGGCCGATGGAAAAACGGCCGTCAGGCCAACCTTTGTGTAAGTACGTTGTGCCAACTTAATTATTTGACCTTCAACCAACGTCGGCCCGACGTTGATCCAACTAGTCGGGCCGACGTCTTTCCAACAAGCTGAATCCACGTTGGGCCGATGGAAAAACGGCCGTCGGGCCAACCTTTGTGTAAGTACGTTTGTCTCTTATACACATCTAGATGTGTATAAGAGACAGTATATATATATCTTTATTTATTTATTTAACTAGTCGGGCCGACGTCTTTCCAACAAGCTGAATCCACGTTGGGCCGATGGAAAAACGGCCGTCGGGCCAACCTTTGTGTAAGTACGTAGTGCCAACGTAATTATTTGACCTTCAACCAACTTCAGTCCGACGTTGATCCAACTAGTCGGGCCGACGTCTTTCCAACAAGCTGAATCCACGTTGGGCCGATGGAAAAACGGCCGTCGCGCCAACCTTTGTGTAAGTACGTTGTGCCAACGTAATTTTTCGACCTTCAACCAACGTCGGGTCAACGTCGCTTGCTAGCTGGGGCATCGCATTGTGATCAGTTGTAGCAATTGCGACACCCAAAGTAAAATCGTGTGTGAAATTTCACCAATAGTAGTCGCTATGTAATCGATATCGCAATTGTTACCCGTTGCGATGGGGTGTACAATGTTTATTACTCCCGATTACCACGGAATCTGATCGCAACGAATCACAATGAATTGCACAGGCACTGTTTGGCCGAGGTCAGTCAACATAGGCCTAGCCATGGACTGGAGGCCTAGGCCCTAGAATGTAAAGTTTGTTTGTGTTGGTCTGAATGCGTTCATTGATTGCGATCGGGAGTAATCAGTTTTGGATTACCACCGACCAACCGATCGCAACAGAGTGTAGTCTGAATAGGGTATTATTCACTTGAATACTTTGCAAGATTGTGATTATAAGACGGTCAATTGAGATAACTAATGGACTTAACGTGGGTGAGAAATAATTAGTCTTTGGTCTGATCGTTTTGTAGACACCCATAATACTGTGGATGTCTATAAAACGAAGACCCTTGAAAATTTCACAAACAATTTAAAAATACTGTAATTTTGATTTTTTGACTGGTGTACTATCATTATTAAAAAGAGAAAATATAAGGGTCATCGTTTTTGGGTCTTCGGTCTTCGTTTTACAGACATCAAGCGCACTACCACAGGAATGACTTATCTCTAGAAATTAATCAATACTTTTAATTAGAGCATGTACAGTACGCCTAGGCTTACATGATACTTTTATTCATAAATTTAAATGTGTGCCTTGTAATATTAGTTTCTACCTTCCCGACATGCCATAGGTCTAGTGTATAAGCATAGAGAAAGAAAATGTATAAGATACGTGACTGAAGTTAGGGTTAGGCCCTGGGCCCAGGGTCGGCCTTACGGTCCTCGCAGGGGAACATGCAATCCTTGTCCTAGGGCAGGTCTATCTATGCAGAGTAGAAGAAATAAAGTACAGTGAGCGTACCCTCTGGCGCCGCAACGAGTTTATTTAGTTTCTGAACCACTCCCAAGGATATTTATGACCTATTTTCTAGAATAATATAGATAACACCTAACGAGTGAGTACTTACCAGGGAAGAAATTACGAGCTCCAAACAAACATATTATTGAAGATACGGCGTTTACGTTACTGAAATAATCTACTTTTACTACAGGTGCTGCAAAGAAGGCTCTTCTTCCACGTCAGACAAAGGCGTTATAGCGTAAAGTTCATGCATATGTATGAATGTAACCATTATCAGGGCCGGCGGAACGTTTTTCAAAGTGGGGGCGGGGGTGGGGGCCCACTTATAAGATGAATGGGAATATGAATCATGCAGATCTGGAATCAAACCTAGGGGGTCCGGGGTCCTCCCCCGGGAAAATTTTGATTTCTAGATGGCGGGAAATGACTTTTCTCGACTTTGAGATAGGTGTCTAATGACTTTGTTCTTCAAAATTCGAGGTTTTCCCCCTTTTGAAAACGGTCAGGTAAACTTTCTTATTCTTATTACAGTAAATAGGCCTGATATGTGTGTAAACATACATAAAAAAATGAGTAGTTGCGTAGGCCTACGTATTCTTTTTTCAATGAATCGATAAGCTCCAAAGAAAAGGGGGTCCGGGGGTTCTCGCCCGGGAAAATGTTGATTCCTAGATGGCGGGAAATGAGCTTTTTTTTCCCCTCTTGAAAACGGTCAGGTAATTTTTTCCCATTGCTTTTACAGTAAATAGGCCTTATGAGTGTACCGTATACATAAATAAAAAAAAAAAAAAAAAAAAAATGAGTA